GTAGAACGAAAAAAAAAAGAAAAATTAAGACACAAGAATCAACGACAATGACAACGAATAACAACATAGAAAAAAAAAAGAAAGAGAGAGAGAGAGAGAGACTAGAGAGCAGCAGCAATAATACGCGCAATGCGTAAGTACAAAACAGATGAGGTATGTATATATGACAAACAGACACAAAAAAAAAAAGATTTTGGCTGCCTGTGTACGTGTCACTGTTGGTTTTAGTGTTTTCTCTGTCGAGCGCGTTCAGAGATACACAAACAAAAAAAAAAAAAACAAAAAACGATAAATTGAACTAGAGGAAACAACTCGAGTTTGACTTTGAACATGCACACTGTACGAGAAATACACACAAGATGAGAAGAAAAAAAAAATGAAACGACCATTCTAATATAATAGTGTAGAGTGTATGAATAAAGAGAATAAAAGAGAGACACAAAAATAATAATAATAATAATAATAATAATAAACGAAAAGGAAAAAAAATGAGAGAGAGAGAGAGAGAGAGAGACAGAGAAAGAGAGCCACATGCCTGTCTGTTTGACGACTAATAAAATTTTATTTTTTTCGTAAAATTTTTTTTTTTAAATTCAATTATTTCTTCTAAACCAAATTGTACTCTTTGAGGTTCAATTGAAGTATTGTGTCTTTAACAGCAGCAAACACAAAACGGATATTTTCGGTATCTAAATGAATATTCAAAAAATAAAATTTAAAATTTGTTCTGTTTTTGCTACTCAGGGCAAGGATGAGCTATATATTGTGCTCATTGAAGATATAATGATAAATAATTAAACCGCTCGGTTAAATCTCTTTATCAATCTCCTCGCACCACTGCGCAAGTTTTTATTTTCTCATCATTGTAGCAAAAAACAAAAAACTAAAACTTACCAGTTGCACAGGTAAAATGTGAATAGATAATCTTATCACTATCTGGATTGAGATCAACATACATTTTTAAAATAAATTCGCGTGCAGCTTGGGCATCACGTTTGGGACCTTTGAGTATAAAAAAAAAAAAAAAAAAAATGATAAATTTATATATTTTTCAAAAAACAACTAACCATCAAATTCAGGAAAATAATCAACCAAATGCGAATGCATAATTTTCTCTTCGAGCAAATCTTTCTTATTCAAAAAAAGGATCACAGATGAATTCGTAAACCATGGATAAGTTATGATCGTACGGAACAATGCTTTGCTCTCTTCCATTCGATTCTAAAATTATATTTTTATATTTAAATATAAAAAAACAAAAAAAATTTTCTTTTACCTCATTGTCAGATTCAACAAGAACTTGATCATATTCGCTTAATGCTGCAAGAAACATTATCGAAGTAACATTTTCAAAACAATGAATCCACTTTCGACGTTCAGATCTTTGACCACCAACATCAACCATTCTAATTATTATGAAAATTATTAAAAAAAAATTTAATATAAAAATGAATATAAATATATCTACCGAAAAATAATATTTTCAAGATCAAATGGATATTCAATAATACCCGTTGTAGGTACTCGTACTCGTAGGACATCTTGTTCTGTAGGTAAATAACCTGGGGAAGCAATTCGATCAATACTATCCAAATAACTAAACATTCAAAAAAAAATTTTTTGTTTTTTAAATTAAATAAAAATTTTTCTTTTCTTTTTTACTATTTCGCTGAATCTGTTAATTGATATTCTCTTCGTCGATCATAGCACTCTTTTATTCCTGGATCACTCCAAAGACTTTTAATAGCTTCAACATATTGCGGTTCAAATGTTGTCACTGTTTCATAATCAACTGACCGTACAAGTGCTGCATGTTCTTGCTACAAAAAAATAAATAAACGAAAAATTAATTTTTCTTTTTTGTTTTCAATAATCTAACCTCATTTCTTTTATCTCTATATTGTATTTTGAGCGTATCCATAGCACGAATCATTGAATGCATTGCCATGAATATATTTTGATAAACAAGTTTAACAAATGAACGTTTATCTTCTTCGGAATAACCTGTACCATGTATAATACGCATTTGTTTTATAAATGTTGATTTACCAGATTCTCCAGTACCTATTCAAATTTTAAAATCAAAAAAAAATCTAAATCTAAATCTAAATTTACCAAGTAAAAGTAATTTTAATTCTCGTCGTTGATTTTTTTTATCAAGACGTAGTTGTTTTTCAATTTCACGATTTATTTGTTTCTGTTCACGTGCTTCAGCAGATAGACAGCACATCATCTTGATGATTCGAATTGCTCTCTTTTGGTTTTTTTTTAATTTAATATTTTTCTATATATATATATATATATATATATATTGCAAATTCTATCGATATAAACTAAATTGACTAGCGAATTAGATATAAATAAAGAAGGATGATCATCTGCTTGTAATGTTTTCGATTGCTTGTGGAAATAAATAAAGACGAGTTAATGAAGAATTTATATTATTTAATGAAATTGGATGTTTAACGAGAGACTTCATACCATCTAAAAAAAATATTATCAATAGATTTTAAATTAATGATTGAGTGAGTAAATAAACAAACAACAGACCACCATCATTATTACATACATACACAAAGAATGGAAGAGCAGAAGAAAAAAAAAAAAAAAAAAAAAAGAAAAAAAAACAAATCATGGAGGATCGTCTGAGATTTTTGTATACATTAAACATTTATGCATTTATTAATTTTTATTTTAAATAATAAAATTTTTAGAAATGATTTTTTATTTTTATTTTATTAAAAATATAAATATAAAAAAATAATAGTTTTATTTTATAGTCAAATTTATTTTGTTATTTATTGGATAAACAATTAACCAATAGAAAAATTTTCAGTCTAACAAGCAATTGAGATCAGTAACTAGAAGCAATTAACATTGTTAGTATTTAAATGATCCATTTGTGGATATATATATGCAGCATTGATATCTATCGCAGTTGAAAATCTACCACGGTACTTAAAGAGACAAGGCTACTACGATGGTTTCATCACGATTTTGATTGTTGAACTTGTAGACATCCCAGTCGGGTGCCAATTCATGCAATTTCCTAATCTCTTTAAAAAAAAGAAGCTACCATGGACATCTCTCATATATAAGAAGAATCATAAGTACCATTGTGATAAAAATATTGAAGTATGATGGCTTCGATTCAATCAAATGGACTCAATTTTTCGTTAGTGCTAGAAGCTTATTTAAAGTATTTTCTCAAACCTGTAACGCAAACACATAACAATCTGAAGTATTATAATTGATTTCACTACATCAGCGATATCTGAATTAAACCCCGTACGAGGGTTCCAGAATTGGGGAAAGAAGTTTCGAGGCAGCCAAGATTTAGGAACACAAGTTTTTTTTTTTTTATATTAGATCTGATATTAATCTTTCTCTTGCAACCTGAAATGTAACAATTTTTCGTGAAACGGAAACTTTTTCTCAAGCTCATGAAAAACTATTCTTTTCTTTGTGTTATTAGAAAGAGAAAAGTGTTGCCATAGCTCTTAATAATTTTGCTACCAAAAGCGGCCAGACTAGTGTCGACTGTTCGAAAATGAAGCTTTTCAAAAGAGAGATAGTAGTAAAATTATTATAAAAACATGAAAATTGCGAATATGATTGAGCTGACCACGCTCACGTGGTTACTTTTTTGCGAAGCGAAAAATTTGAACATTCCTTTAAATTTTCTAGCAAAAAAATTCCAAAAATATTTATCGATTTTGCTGGTTACCAATGAATAATTTTCAGTTATTTGGGAAGTGTACACCCCCTAATTTCGTGGGACTTAATCCGAATTCCTTGAATTCTGAAATTCTCAAAAGTGCAACTTCATTCACGGAAGACTATTGATTTAGTTTTCGATTCTCTCTACATCCACAATCACACACACACATATTTGAATACCGATGAAAAAGATTGTATTGTGTACTTGTCATCTCTTGTAACATTTCTGATATTCCGAATATTTTGAATGTAAGACACCATTGTAGTTGTTTAAAATTTGCGAGTAAGCAAAGTAAATGAACGAATTGCTAAAAAAAAAATGTGTAATCATCGAAGATTGATAATTAATCGAAAATTTGTAAACAATATTCAAGAGATATGTGCTATTTTTATCAGTTTTCTATAAATTGAGTTGAAAAATCTACTTTAGAAAAATTTTGACTAGGTTAACATCATTTTTATTATCGATCATTATTTGTATTTATATTCAAATTATTTTACTTGACAAAATACTTGCAATTTATTCGAAATTAGAATCATCTAAAATATTATTCTAATCAGGGAATCACCTGATGTGATAACTTGCATTTGAGATGAGACTTCAATCATTAAATAAGATCTATTGAGACTAAAAAGTTCTTACTCATACGCTGTTATTTTAGAGTTATGGCTGTTACACTAGATCGCTTACCTTTGGCACGATATTTATAAAAAAAAAAAACGGACAAATAAATTTTGGTCTAATACTTTGTCCATAGACAGCTCTTAACGTCATTAGAATCTTGTAAAAATAATCTAATTTTTTTTTGTGAATTTGGTATCTCAAGAAGAGACGACTTTTTTTTTGGCTGACATTTTTAGAGGATTCTAATGTCTTCGAGAACTATCCGTGAGCAATATTTTAGATCAAAATTTGTTTTTCCGTTTTTTTTATATATACTATGCCAAAGATAAAAATCTAGTGTAACGATCATAACTTCAAAAGGACAGTGTATAAGTAAGAATTCTTCTAGTTTCATCAGGCCCTACCTAATGACTGGAGTTTCATTTCAAACACAAGGTTTTATCTTAGATAGTACTCTTGTAAGAGTATTATAACTTCTTAAAGGTCTATTATGATGGTATTCAGCAAAAATTAAATTGACCTAGTTTTTCATAAATAAAAATTATAAATATACAAAAAAAAGAGGGAATATGAACAATCTCAATGCGCTTTTTTTTCTCAAATTTTCAAATTGTGAAGACACATTTTATCAAATTTGATTTCGTGTGTCGAAACGATGAAATTATTTTGTGATTTACTTACACGACATCGATCAAATAAGAAAAAAGAAATAATAAAATCAACATCATCTTCTATTAATATATTATCCAATAATGCTAAACAATCTATTCATCGATGTTAGTCTTTTTTTCTCAATTTTCGTTTTTTTTTTTTTGTGAAAGAATATTTTGTAATTATTTTAGCTATTTCACCTTGTTGTGATCAAACATTGAGTTTATTTGATAAACAAACCAAATGTAAATGTCATTATTTTGTAAGTCTTTCATTTTATAGATTTAATCAACTATAAAATTATTTAAAAGAATCTTAATGATAATTATTTGACAAAAAATATATATACAAAACAAATTTCAAATCATTCAACATCTTATTCTTCTTTATCATCTCAACCATCAATCAATATCATGTAAGTATTTATTTATTTTTTTGTTTTGAACTAAACATATAGTTTAAATTAGATCTTCTCTAGAATATCCATCTCATACTAAATATATCTTAACTATTACTGACTTTTGTTTTTGGTATGATGTTCGATCAACATTATTAGACATCATAGATCGTGTTGTAGCAATGGATGATATTCATCATTTTATTGTTGAAAAAAATCATTCAACTATCGTAAAATTTTATCTACCTCAATTAAATACAAATCATAGAAAAATACGACAACGACGACCAAAAACTTCAATTGCTATTCAAACATCATTCGACAATGATCAACGACGAAATGTTAAAGTTCAAACAAATACAGTGACACTTTTTCCAATACAAAAACAAAATTTATCTTCTTCAAGATTGTTTTTAAATTAGTTTTTTTTTTTTTTTGTACAATCTTATTGAGATAGAAATATTGTTACTTGATGCTCGAAGGAATTATTCTAATCATATTGATATATCGTAAAACATCAAATTTTCTGTATGATCAAAACAAAAAAAAAAAAAGCATTAGTATGAATGAACTAAAATCAATAAGATATACAAGTACATGTACATATTATGGTAATTATCGTTATAATATTACTATCAAGTGGATCTTTATAGTGTAATGTATCATATAGACTCATATAGCTGACACTTAGAGAAAAATAAAATCATTATTATTGTGTATTAAGTATTGTAAATATTCGCTTCATTTGGAATATATATATGTTAAGATCAGATTTTTTTTTTCATCATAATCTAATTAACAAGGACTTTTTTTTATTATTATTAATAAAAACAAGGTCATCTATGTTTGTATTCACTAATTCATAGTTTCCTAAGTAAAATGATCGACCTTTTTATTTTGTAGTAGAAAAAAAAAATACATTTTTAGTTTCTAGAAGATCGATGGGCTTTCAATTAATACTCTTTCACCCAAGGTTGTTAATATCGTTATTGCGTACAACGTCTGATGATATGTTTAATGACTAGAGATTAGTTGGTTTGACTGATGTCATCAAGGATCTGGTGGTAATTTATGGTTAATTTTACAGTCTTTGAATAGTTTGAGAAGATTTACTTCTATTCAAATTGATATTAATAATTAGAAAAGTTCTATATGAACATAAATAATAAAAATATTCTTAGATTCTCTTTTTTTCTAGTAAAATAAAGAAAATTTCATTCATTACACAATGTTTTGTTGTTTTTGTATACAAGTGTTTAAAGAAACACATACTTGAGCGCATGACATTATATCCTGTTGAATAGGCATAAAATTCTATCCTATTCTAAATGAAACATGTGCCTTAAAGCTATTGTATTACTAGTGCTGATGATACAATATGATAATTTCCTTTCTTTGCCTAATGATGGCACCACGCGTTGTTGTCTTTCATAATATCATGTTCTATGTATCTCTCTCTTTCTCTTTCTCTTATACCATCTTCTATTTTGTCTCATGTATTAGTACCAAGCTAGCTATTTTCCTCTCGTTTATAATGTGTATATGTATAGATAGATCGAATAACAAACACATATATATATATATACATAAAGAGAGAGAGAGAGAGAAGATACGCAAACAAGAAAAAGACTCTCAAAGATCTATCAACATTCATTTATCTACAGTCAACAAAAAGAGTAAAGCAAGTATTTCTTGGTAGTAGAATAATAAATATAGAAGAAACAAAAACAAAAGCGAAAAACGTATTGATCCACACACTTAACATCTCAAAAAAAAAAAAAACATACAAAGTGGACGAATGAATTCGATCCATTCATGGGCGGCAGTGCATATAAGACTATAACAACACATGAACAAGTTGTCTACCAGTCAACCGCCGACAAGTGTCACTGATTGGGTAAGGTTTTGTTTTCTTTTCAAAACAACTAAAAAAAAAAAAAAGAACACCCCTCTAACATATATAAATTATCGAACCAAAGAGAGAAAGAGAGATCATCGTTTATGATAAAGTTGATCTTCTAAATGATTTGACGTCATCAACAGATAGAGATATCTATCCGAAACTGTTGGTGTTTTTGTCAATTAACTTTTTGAATGATCACATGCATGTGCCTGTTGTTTTTATGTTTTGTTTTCTGTTTCTTACGAATGTCAGATAAATCACAAAAATGTGACATGGACTTTGCTTTGATCCATGTTGTAACAATAATAATAATAATAATAGTAATTCTTAATATATATATATATATTTCTTTTTTTTCAATTTGTAATATTTTTCGAGGAAACGTCTTTTTTTTCTTATGAGGTAAAACAAAAAAAAGAAAAGAATAATAGAGTGTCATTTATAGAATACACAAAATTAATAGAAGAATGTCATTCAATCGAATGAAATAAACGTTTTTGTTCTTGTTACTGTTTTTGTTTTCTCAATGTTATCAAAATAGGATGACAAAAAAAAAAACAAAAACGATGACGCCAATGTACAGTTGCCTGATTGTCTTTACGTCTGTTCGATCTGTTTAGTAGCACAATGTCATTATCGTATTGCTAACGAAAATGATGGATTGTTGTTCATTAGACATCATTACTAAGAGTTTTCTTTTTTCTAACTACTTTGTCTTTACTAATTTTGATAGGCTGACAAACTTTGTCTTTGATGATTACCAGTGACATGTATAGATAAATGCATCAATAGAATATTTCTCCATCAATGACCGTGAATAAAAGTAACAGCTGTCTCTGTCATTGAGTTTTATTTATAAAAGAAAAAAAAAAAAAAAATAATCTTAAGTCAAAACGTTGTATAAAAATAATTTTTATTCGACATCTGGTATCGCTTTTTTTGTTTGTTGAAAGTAAAATTTATATGAAAATATTCAATAGTAATATTTTCGAGATGTTATTTTTATTTTACGTAGGATAAGATAAGAAACAATGAAGAATGTAAATATTGAGTTATACAATCATCACGGAATAGAAAAAAATATCTATATTAATTTGTTTTGGACTGTAAGAGACGAAAGATAGAAAAGCACTAAATGGTTATGGATCATTTTTTATCATTTGCTATGTAGAAAGCATGTCAATTGATTACTCAACGTGTTGCCATGATAAGATGAAACCATAATTAGATATTTTTTGTTATGAGTGTAAGAAAAATTTTTCGTATTGTTCTCCTGTCTTCATTTATTTCTATTCAACCATTTGATTTATCTTTTCCACAAGAATAAAAACGGAACTAAGCTATTGTTAAGATGCATTCATGTTAGGCACCTGTTGCCCGTCATTGTCGTTTGTTACAAATATCCGTTAGTGATAGTGGCAAAACACCGTCGAGGATAGTATTTTTTTTTTTTCTTCTTTCTTTTATGTTTCTTGCTCTCTTTTTTTGAAAATGTGGCACTTATATGCACAGTCTTTCGTAAAAAAAAAAAAGAAGAAAGTAATGACACTAATAGAAATACTAATCTACGTCAACAAAATGGAAAAGAAAAACCGCAACACATGCAAAAAAGAATCGATCGGTGTTTCATCTATTTTTCTCATCAATCATTAGCATTTTAAATATGTGAATAAATATCATTTCAATAATATTCGTACTTGAATAAAAAGACAAAATAGGTTCGTGTTATTCAATTTATCGAAAAAATACCTACAGTAATAAAACAACTATTATTACTAGTAGTAATCCTTCAGAATTATCAATGTTAACAAAATTCTTTTATCAAACTTCTTGTATAATATGTATTCCCAAAGGTTTTCGTGTTAATCAGGTTATAAACCAACAAATCTCAACTGATCTATTATATGCATATGACCCATTACAACATAAGGTATGAAAAATGAATAGAACTTTTATCAATAAGATTTATCTCTAGGTTAATTATTATTATTTAGTGTAAAATATTAGATTTTCTAAGATAAAAGCTAAAATAATTGCCCTTAGATTTGTTTAGCATAAAAAACATTTGGAGTCTTACTTTTCCGTAACACATTGAGATAAAAATCTGCTGAATTTTCAACACTATCTATTAGTTTTTCTTGTATGATGATATCAGTATATAGATACAATCTATGGTCTGTTTTGATATGTGTTGAAATCGTTTAGTAAGACCTTGTCTCCTACAGAAATTATCTTTTTTGTCAAATTATTTGTTTGACGTAGATATACTCATATCTAAGTATATATATTATTAGTTATGTGCATATGTTTTTGTTTGTCAGTTGTTTTGTTGATAATCTATTGGTAGACAAAGTTAAATATTATCATCAGACTAAAGAATTTTTTTTCTTTCTTTTACATTTGTTCATTGAAATGTGGTGACAAGTATTTGTTTTTATTATTTTTTTTTTTTTTGTATTGTTTTCATTAATATCTCTTCTCTTTGAATATATCTATAATTAATTTGTAACAAATAGTGGAGAAAAAAAAAATCTTTTATTATATAAATAGATTAAAATATTATTTTATATAATATTGATTATTAGTCTAAGACGCAATTATCTATGTTTGATACAAATTATTTTCTTTTTTATAATATCGATCAAGTAATAAAGAATTTATTAGTTTATATCATGATAATTCTTTTTTTTTTTTGTTTTTGTTTTTAGCTTGAACATTTTACAGAAGAACAAATTCAAGGTAAAAATTTGATTGAATAAGATAATATTGAGATGATGATGATGAAAGAAAATTTCATGTTTTTTTTTTTAGAGTTTCGACAAGCTTTTCGTCTTTACGATAAAGACTCAGACGGTGCTATTAGTCCCAAAGTGCTCGGAAGTGTAATGAGAACACTCGGGCAAAATCCCACAGAAGATGAATTGAAAGGATTAATCAACGAATTTGATTGTGAAGGTTTGTTCATTACATATTAAGTTTCATTTTTTTTTTTTTAATTTTTTAATTTTATCTAGGTAAAGGATTGATTGATTTTAATGAGTTTCTTCAAATGATGGCTAAACGAGCTAATGAACATAGTGAAGAAGATGAATTAAGACAAGCTTTTCGTGTGTTTGATAAGAATGGAAATGGTTTTATTAAAGTAGCTGAATTAAGGTAATAGAAATATTTTCATTCTATAGAAAGAAAAAAAAAAAAAAAAACTAAAATTTGTATCAATGTTTTCTTTTTTTTCGAGATATGTGATGACAAATCTAGGTGAACAATTTTCCGATCTTGAAGTTGATGAAATGTTACGTGAAATAGATATAGCTGGTAATGGAATCATCCGATGGGAAGGTAAATTTTATATTAAATTAATTTATTAATATTTTATTATTTTATATATATATAGAACTTGTTAAAGTTGTCATGGGTAAATAATCATTGATTTTATTTGGCATGCACTTCTGTGATAGTGATAAAATTCATGTTCCTGTGGTTTTATTCTATTGAATCAATTAAATATTCTTGTTTGAG